AACACACTACCTATAACATGCTACCTATAACACACTACCTATAACACACTACGCATAACACTACCTATAACACACTACCAATAACACACTACCTATAACACGCTACCTATAACACACTACCTATAACACACTACCTATAACACACTACCTACAACACACTACCTATAACACACTACCTATAACACACTATGCATAACACTACCTATAACACGCTGCCTATAACACACTACCTATAACACACTACGTATAACACACTATGCATAACACTACCTATACAACACTACCAATAACACAATACCTATAACACTACGTATAACACACTACCGATAACACACTACCTATAACACACTACCTATAACACACTACCTATAACAATACCTATAACACGCTACCTATAACACACTACCTATAACACACTACCAATAACACACTACGTATAACATGCTACCGATAACACACTACCAATAACACACTACGTATAACACACTACCGATAACACACTACCTACAACACACTATGTATAACACGCTACGTATAACACACTACCTATAACACACTACCTATAACACGTTATCTATAACACACTACGTATAACACACTACCTATAACACGCTACCTATAACACACTACCTATAACACACTATGCATAACATTGCCTATAACACGGTACCTAAAACACACTACCTATAACACACTCGCTAAAACAAACTACCTTTAACACACTACCTATAACACACTACCTATAACACACTACGCATAACACTACCTATAACACACTACCTATAACACACTACCTATAACTCACTACCTATAACACACTACGTATAACACACTACCTATAACACACTACCTATAACACACTATGCATAACACTACCAATAACACACTACCTATAACACACTACCTATAACACACTACCTATAACACGCTACCTATAACACACTACCTAAAACACACTACCTATAACACACTACCTATAACACGCTACCTATAACACTCTACCTATAACACACTACCTTTAGCACACTGCATATAACACACTACCTATAACACACTACCTATAACACTCTACCTCTAACATGCTACCTATAACACAATACCTATAACACACTACCTATAACACACTATGCATAACACTACCTATAAGACGGTACCTACAACACACTACCTATAACACTCTACCTATAACACACTACCTACAACACACTACCTATAACATGCTACCTATAACACACTACCTACAACACACTACCTATAACACACTACCTATAACACACTACGCATAACACTACCTATAACACACTACCAATAACACACTACCTATAACACGCTACCTATAACACACTACCTATAACACACACCACGACAACACCACCATAACACACTACCAATAACACACTACCTATAACACGCCACCTATAACACACACCATAACACTACCTATAGCACACACTACCCATGACACACCACCTATAACACACTACCTATAACACACTACCTATAACACACTACCTATAACACACACTACCTATAACAGGCTACCTATAACACACTACCTATAACACACTACCTATAACACGCTACCTATTACACACCTATAACACACTATGCATAACACTACCTATAACACGGTACCTATAACACACTACCTATAACACACTACCTATAACACACTACCTGTAACACGCTACCTATAACACACTACCTATAACACACTACCTATAACACCCTATGCATAACACTACCTATAACACGGTACCTATAACACACTACCTATAACACGCTACCTATAACACACTACGTATAACACACTACGTATAACACACTACCGATAACACACTACCTATAACACGCTACCTATAACACACTACGTATAACACACTACCTATAACACACTACCTATAACACACTACCTATAACACTCTACCTCTAACACGCTACCTATAACACACTACTTATAACACACTACCTATAACACACTACCTATAGCACACTACCTATAACACACTACCTTTAACACACTACGCATAACACTATCTATAAAACACTACGTATAACACACTACGTATAACCCACTACCGATAACACACTACCTATAACACGCTACCTATAACACACTACCTATAACACACCATATATTTACTTACTACCAAAGACATAATCGAAGACGTAAGGAACAAGTGGCCATCCACCTGGTCCATCTGGCCATAATAGTGTGCTCGTGTCAGTCGTGGCCATCCTCTCTTCTATTGGGTCACACTGTTCAGCCGTCATCAGGGTGTCAGCCTCCAAGAGCTTCTCCCCGCCCGAAGTGTCAGCGTTGATGTACTCGAACCATTGACGCTGTTGAGGAGAGGGTGAGTAGTTTGGTCGGTCTCTCTCTCTCTCTCTCTGCATAACTCGAGTGTCAAGCAATGAATAGAATGGCGTGTTACCATACACTTTTGAGCCATACAGCCAGTCATGACAAATACTCCCTCATCACTTACTTGTATTGAATGCATCACTACAAGCTTGATTATTATTATTATTATTATTATTACCTCAAGAAAAAATGAAAATAAACTAAAAAAAATCATAATGCGTAGACTATATAATAAGAATTTGGTTATTCACTTCCCCTATATGGTGACTCCTACAGCTGGTGAGGACGAGTGTGTTTGGTTGAGTTACCCTCTCTTAGTGCACCATACTTTACAGTCTTCTTAACCCACTGTAATGGTCACAGTTTCCTCCTAGACTTATCAAAAGCTAAATACACAATACAACGCTTTAAAAACAAGTCCAATTATACTCTTACAATGGTGTTTTAGCGTAGAGACTGCAGTATGGTGGAGGAAACGGTTAACAGTAGAAATAATTTATTTAACTGCACCGACATTTCTGGAGATGTTATTTGCATGATATTAAACAGAAGAATGGAAAGGACAATGCACAGACAGGTGGACGAGGATATACCTGACCACAAGTAACTCCTATCAGAAGGTTCGTCACGACCAAGCACCGCCACACCAGCCTCGCCATGTTAACACGGTCACTGCTGCGCCACGTCTGTTACTGCCTCGCCTCCAGCAGCTCTACGTGTACCTCATCCCCGCCCGCCGAGGCCACCAGGGTAGGGGTCTTTATAGGGAACACTTGCGACAAGTAGTGACCAATTTTTCTCTCGTCCCAAGTGTTCTGGAACATTCATACTCTGAGCAACACTGAAATTTGTATAAACAACTGTATACTTGTATAGTCCTGGCGACTCCGTCCAGCCCTCAAGTTCAGCCAATAACCATAAGCCTTCGATGTGACGTCATAGGGTATATCCTGTGACAGGAATGTGGTGGTTTAGTTAGCACAATAGATAAGCTTTTAGTCCTTTATATCAGGGTCATTACCTAAGCTTATAGGCAACGCAGTCTTTTCCCGAGTCCTTAACCCCTTCACTACAGGGACGACACTTTTAATATTTTATTTGGCCAACACAAGACGACTTTATTCAACTCAGAGGGGAGCCCGTACAAAGGGGGTCAGTAGACTACCTCCACTAATGTTTACTAATTAACAAATATACCGTACTACTTAGCCTATAGCAGGATAAGCGCACCTCCCCTCTCTCCCCATCAACCTGATCTCGTCACAGATGTTCAACACGCTGGCCACCTTGTGAGGGATGATGAGTGTGTAGGTCGCTATTATGATGTTTATAAGTCATGCAGGTTACCTATGTTATTTATATATGTGTATGTTTTGGTCATCACTATAACAGAGGGTCTCTACCACTTTGTACTACCCAACTGTATACATTCTCCATCTACATCGACTTGGGTAGTCCAGCTCAAGTGGTCTGATATAGGACTCGAACCGGAAACCGTTGGGTCAAAAGACGAGTGCTACATCCACTCGGCCACAACACTTGCAGTCACAGGTGCACACATTTCCCCGCCCCGCCCCATGATCACATCCAGACGTTCATTAGTCCACGTGAATGATACATTGAAGCTCATGAAAGGAGTTAAGTTATGTAACGGCAGGGCGATAGAGACTCAGCCGTTTACCTCGGACTCTTTCAAGAAGTCTATCAATTATAACGTTAAGGAATTGACGCCTCTACCGCTTGATATTAATGGCGGCCAAGTGGTCTCCTTCATCAGTGTCTTTATATCTTGTTTTGACGTTCATGTATGTCTTAGTACTGACGTCATGAACGAATTTCTGTTTAGTAAAGGTCTGTCAGAGGTCAAGGGTGTTCACCATACTTATGTAAATGAAACTATCTTAAACCTCCATCAGCGAGGCTCGATCGTTAACCCCAGTGTGTGAGAGTGAAAAGACTTACCACCAGGCCACCCAGTGTTATTTCTGACCTGAGCTTCCGACTTATTACTCTCGAAAGATCTATCCGTTAAACTCACCCTTTTAATATAAATTATATCTTTTTTTCATAAATATTTTCCATTTCACAATAATATGAACAGGAAGTTGTTATTTATAGGTCAATAATAAAATAATATTTCTGCAAATCTTTATATCATACTCGATACTTTGGTACGTCCCAAAGTACCATATGAAAACATTCCCTGAGTATAATGGGGTCACATGATGATTGGCCCCAGCTTAGTTTACCTGATGATTAAACACCTTAATGTTACCTGGGGGTTAGGTTAGGTTAAGTTACCGTTAGGGCGAATTAAACAGGAGCTAATTTTCAGGTGATCCGAAAAATGAAACAGACTTCATTATCCAAATATTTCCTCACAAACTACTCTATAAAACCTTATTGAAACAAAAGTGAAAGTGGGAACCCAAGAGGATTTTTTATCTTGAATTTCCTTCTGTTACTGTCGTCGCTGATCGCTTGTCCCAGCCTTGAGTCCGGCCGCCTGGTGAGTGAGAAGTGTGTGTGGGGTGAAGGGTGGTGGGGGGAGTCCACCCACGGGTGCTGGTGGTACTCATTAACACCACTGAAGCCGGGTTGTCTGTGTGGGTGATGGGCGAAGGAAGAAATGGTGGCTGCTGCAGGGAGGAGATCCTCTGTAGAGGCTGCTGGCTGTTGCAGGGAGGATTTCTGCTGTTCCTGTGGGTGATAACTTGATGGTGAGGAACCCTGGTCTTCAGAAATGCTGGGTGAAGGCTCGGTTCTTTTGTGCTTGTCAGGATGTGTTGACTGTGAGTTGTCAGAACCGGTCTTGTAGACAGGACTGGCGCTACTTTTTTGTTGATTTTCGTAAGTAAAAACTAGATTTGGTTGAAGTCCTTCATCTGTTGACTGCTGCTGCGAATCTTGGTCACTGACTTGTTGATTGGCGTCAAAAGTGGATTCAGACAGATTAACAACTTGACTGGTAACCTGATACGAGAGTTGACTGTCTTTCTGTTCACCACTCTGACTGTCAGGGTCTTGAGAATTTTGTAAAGTTGACTGGTGACGAGAACTGTCGTCGATTGTTTGTTGTGAAATGTTATGTTCATGTACCGTACGTTGGTCGAGGTTCTCAGTCACCGAATGTTCAAGAATCTGTTGGTTGGGAAACTGAGAGTTAGCTCCTTGAGGACTGAAGGCTGTCTCACTACCTCTCCGAATAGAAGGTACATCATCAAGACAGCGAACCTGACCTTCTGGACACAAGGGCAAAAATCCGTAATTGATCACATCAGCCCTGAATGATCCGTACCGGCGTTTGCAAGTTCTGATGACAGTACATGGAACCACTTCGACTACAGTGGTTTTAGATTCGCCGTTGTGATGTGTGACTGGTAAATGTGTTGGTGCTGCAGTATTCTTGCTGTCCTTCACTGTAAGTAGGTCAGAACCAGTTTGAGGGACGGGAGCAAAATTCTGAGACTCTGTTCTCAGGGAAGCTTTTGAAGGAACATCAACTTCGGGTTCTGGTATAAATGCCACATTATTTATGAAACAATTAAATCTGACGGGACCAGCGTAGTTGTCAAGGCACCGAACTTTGCCCTCAACACACTCCGGTGGAAACCCGTAAACACAAGTGTCCAAAGGATCGTCAGTGTGAGGGCGGGAACACTTGGTGACGGGCACACAGTGAAGCTCAACAAAGTGTCTTTTATCGTCTCCTTCACTCTGCATTGGCAGCTGAGAAAGGTGTGCGAGGTGGCCAAGCATGGAAGGAACGTCATCGGCAGACGGAGACAGAGGCATGATGTTAGCCAGGATGGGTGGCGTCCCAGGTGGCGTGGCAAACGGTACATCAGAAAACATTGGTCTATCTGGCTTTGGCGATTGCTGGTACACATGTAGGATTAGTGCATCGTCAGTCGAAGAAACCACCTGTGACTGTATTTCTGGGAGATACAGGGATAAATTAACAGGAGAGGAGTTCGCCGACTCAAATAAATGGAAGGGAAGTTTTGATAACAAGAGGTCTGGTTGGTGTTCTGGAGAGGTGACAGCCAGTTGTAGCGGCGGTGAAGAAGAGACGAACGACGAAGAAGATATATGTGGAGGTGGAGAGACCGAGGGTGAAGGTATAAAGAAGTACGGCGCCAACCAACTTGAAGTGGAATATAGAGGATGGTCGGAGGTTGATGTAGAATTGAAAGCTTGCTGTGCAGTTTCCTCACTCACAGTCGAAGCTTTGGAGCAGTGTGGGGAGTTCTCGTCACTACAGGAAGAGGTGGGTGGTGAGGGCGTGGTGGACGACAACTTCTGTGCCTCCTTTATCATGGATGAGATAAACTGGCCTAAGAGATGGTGTGAAGATTCTGACTGAGGGTGTTGTGGTGCTGTGTATGATGGCTCAGGGACGTGTTGTGATGATTCTTCCAAGACGTGTTGTGATGATTCTTCCAGGACGTGTTGTGATGATAAAAGAGATGATGCTTGGTGTGATGGTGTCGATGATGTATGTTGTGACTCAGAAGAATGTAAATCGGAATCAGGTGTGTCTAAATTGACCTCGGATCGTGGAAGCTGCAAAAAATCATAATCTAAGTGAAACGTGGTAGATGAAGGGGCCGAGGACCCAGGTGCTGGAAGTGGTGGTAAATACCCGAGTTCAAGAGAAGGAATCTGGATGTTTGAATCAATGGAAGGTGTTAATATATCTGTAGATGTTCCTCCACTTCCACTTCCAGAACCTGTGATACTTCCAAAACTGCCACCACTTATACTTCCAGAACCTGTGGTACTTCCAAAACTGCCACCACTTATACTTCCAGAACTGATGCTACTTCCAAAAATGCCTCCACTTCCAGAACCTGTGGTACTTCCAAAAATGCCTCCACTTCCACTTCCAGAACTGGTGCTACTTCCAAAAATGCCTCCACTTCCACTTCCAGAACCTGTGGTACTTCCAAAAATGCCTCCACTTCCACTTCCAGAACCTGTGATACTTCCAAAACTGCCTACACCTCCACTTCCAGAACTGATGCTACTTCCAAAAATGCCTTCACTTCCAGAACCTGTGGTACTTCCAAAGATGACTCCACTTCCAGAACCTGTAGTACTTCCAAAGGTGCCTCCACTTCCAGAACCTGTAGTACTTCCAAAGGTGCCTCCACTTCCACTTCCAGAACCCGTAGTACTTCCAAAACTGCCTCCACTTCCACTACCAGAACCTGTACTACTTCCAAAGGTGCCTCCACTTCCAGAACCTATAGTACTTCCAAAACCCGTAGTGCTTCCAAAGGTACCTCCACTCTCACTTCCAGAACCTGCAGTACTTCCAAAGGAGCCTTCACTTCCAGAACCTGTAGTACTTCCAAAGGTGCCTCCACTTCACTTCAGAACCTGCAGTACTTCCAAAGCCTTCACTTCAGAACCTGTAGTACTTCCAAAGGTGCTCACTTCAGAACCTGTGTAGGTGCCTTCCAAGTGTGCCTCCACTTCCAGAACCTGTAGTGCTTCAAAGGTGCCACTTCTTCCAGAACCTGTAAGAACTTCCAGAACCTGTAGTACTTCAAAGGTGCCTCCACTTCCTTCAGAACCTGGAAGTACTTCCAAAAATACCTCCCTTCCAGAACCTGTAGTGCTTCCAAATATGCCGCTACTTCCAGAACCTGTAGTACTTCCAAAGTTGCCTCCACTTCCAGAACCTGTAGTACTTCAAGGTGCCTCCACTTCCACTTCCCTGTAGTGCTTCCAAGGGCCTCCACTTCCACTTCCAGAACACACCTTTCGAACCTTCCTCCCTTCCAGAACCTGTAGTACTTCCAAATGCCTCCACTTCAGAACCTGTCCTCCACCTGTAGTACTTCAAGGTGCCTCCACTTCCAGAACCTGTGCCTCCACTTCCACTTCCCTGTACTTCAGTTCTTCCAAGAACTTCAGAACCTGTAGTACTTCCAAGGTGCCTCCACTAAACTTCCACCTCCACTTCAGAAGTACTTCAAAGGGCCTCCACTTCAGAACCTGTAGTGCTTCCCAAAATTCTGCCTCCACTGAACCTGTCTGGCTTCTCTTCACTCAGAACCTGAAGTACTTCCAAAGAACCTGTAGTACTTCCAAGATGCCGTACTTCCAGAACCTGTAGTACCAAAGGTGCCTCCTCCACTTCCAGAACCAGTAGTACTTCCAAAGGTGCCTCCACTTCCAGAACCTGTAGTACTTCCAAAGGTGCCTCCACTTCCACTTCCAGAACCTGAAGTACTTCCAAAAATACCTCCACTTCCAGAAGCTGTAGTACTTACAAAGATGCCGCTACTTCCAGAACCTGTAGTACTTCCAAAAGTGCCTCCACTTCCAGAACCTGTAGTACTTCCATAGGTGCCTCCACTTCCACTTCCAGAACCTGTAGTACTTCCAAAGGTGCCTCCACTGCCAGAACCCGTTGTACTCCCAAGGGTGCCTCCACTTCCAAAACCTGTAGTACTTCCAAATGTGCCTCCACTTCCAGAACCAACATTGTTTTCATTTCCAGAATTTGCTCCACTACCAAAAGTGGTTCCAGTGTTGAGGTGGTGTATGACCCCGCCAAACACCCCACCTCCTCCTGCTGGTCCCTCGCCCACCTTCAGCTCTTTCATCATCTCCTCTATAGCTGAGTCGTCGCAGCACCGGACCCTCCAGAAGATGAGACAGGGTGGAAGGTTGCCGTAATTTTGTATATCGAGTTCCGAGGACCCGTAGTAGTTAGGACACACTCTCCGGGTCACACAGGGGCACAGGGCTTCAGCTCGATCGTAGATCATTTTCAGACGGTTTCCAGATGTCTGCTTCGCCGTCAGCGCCGCCATCATCAGCCACACTCTGGAAAACCGACGTTAAGAATATATTGAAAAAAGTAGAATAACATTATAATAATAATAATAATAATAATAATAATAATAACATCAATATTAATAATAATAATAGTAGTAGTAATATATAATCGGTCATTGATTTGGTTCTATAAGAAAACAATAGTATAACCAGATGAGTACACACACACACACACACACACAGTTTCGAGAGAAAAAAATTACTTAATTTTTGTACCACGTGAGACAAGCATAGGCAGAGTATAATACAAAGCATCCTGTCACTCACCCGAAGAACGAGAGGTATTTAGTAAATGTTCATTAAATATTTCACCAATCTACTACCGATTCAATACAATCCACTTCCAATCTTTTGCAAATCCATTACAATCTGCTGCCAATCTATTACAATTCACTACCAATCCATTACAATCCGCTACCAATCTGCTTCCAATCCATTACAATCTGCTACAAATCTACTGCCAGTACATTACAATCGACTACCAATCCATTACAATCCGCTACCAATCCATTACAATCCACTACCAATCTGTTGCTAATCCATTATAATCCACTACTAATCCATTACAATCTGCTACCAATCCACTCAGTATTCATGTGCTGGCCTGCTAAGCAAATCTGATAGGCCCGTTACTGTACTGTAGTTCTGTAGAGTAACGGGTTGTGTAATGATTGTTTACCAGACCATAGCTCACAGCTCAGAGAAGAACAACACGTAACAGTAAGTAGATGCGGAGGTGTACACCCTCGTAAGTTGACCCACCCTTTATAATTAAAGTGAGATTAAGATATGACCCAGCAGAGGTCACGGTCACAATGATACAGAGTTCTCACCGCCACCTGATTAGTCAAACCGGTGTCATGACCATTTTAACACAAGAAACTACCCTCCAGCCCGCACCATGCACCTGATCAAACTCAGCTCTCTCGACACACCCAGAATAGTGTTAATTAGTAACGACATCTGCCGGCCTGACACCGCCAATATAAGGGGCCGACAGCTCCTTCCCCGACACAAGGGAGCGACAGACCTAAGAGGCAGACGGAGTCACACTCGTCAGCAGTCAAGGTTGGGAAGGGAACATTCAGCCCAGCACCGAGTCCCCAGCTAGCAAAGTCTCCCACAGGAGACAGAGTCCAGCACCCGCCGGGACCACTCTCTTCAGCAGCACCTGCAGACATTCCTCAGCTGCTGGGCCTTCCTCAAGTCACACGTGAGTCATTGTCAGAGCGATCCCTAGGGTGAGTTACTTACGGTGGGAAGTGTATCCATTTCATGTATGTGTCCAGGATTCTTTGTCTAGTAACGTGGATAGATTTATTAATGTGTCCGTGTCATTCAGTTAACTAATAAATAGCTGTACTTAGAAGTGGTGTTTGTAAGATTTCCCTTAGGAATATATTTTATCGGTTAAATAACTACTCGACCACGCTACCAAACTTTACAATCCTACAACTATAAATGCTTACTTTACTTGTACTTCTTACCTTACCTTCATTACACGAGTAACAGAGATTTGTAAAAATTAAATGAACGCTGATGATAGTGAGGATGGTGAGGGAAGGAGGGAAGTAGAGAAGGGAGAAAGGATGGAGGTAGAGAAGGGAGAAAGAAGGTAAAGAGGGAGGGAGGAAGGAGGTAAGGAAAGAGGAAAGAAGGTGGTAAGGAGGGAGGGAGGGAGGGAGGGAAGCACTACACTTAACAAAACAAACCAATATAAACATGAGTCAATATCAATATTACCTGATCCACATGGTGACGTCACTCACTCAACACGTCCTCCCAGATGATAAACAACACCGGCCACGTCCTATAACATGGTAACCACTTCTTTGTTTTGGTGCAACACTAAAGAACACTAAGGAGCTAGCCAGGTGATGTAACAGGGAGGACGAACCACTCTGGTCTAGAATCCTACAGCCCGGCAAGACCCTCTTATAGCCTGAGGTTACCTCCGTGTTGCCAGGTAGTGTATTTCTGACGGGTATTTTTCACTCAGTAACCGTAGGATTATTGTAGCTAATCCGGTCACCCTTTGGCTGAGGGATTTCCTCCCGGGTGTTTTTCTCCACTCGACTTCCCACGGTGTTTGGAGAGAGAGAGAGAGAGAGAGAGAGAGAGAGAGAGAGAGAGAGAGAGAGAGAAACCGACGCTTGAATGATCATGCATTAATAATAATAATAATAATAATAATAATAATAATAATAATAATAATAATAATAATAATAATAATAATAATAATAATAATAATACAGGTGGTAATAGTAGTAGTACAGGTAGTAGTTTGTGATAATTAGGTCCAAATAAATTTGTATATCTGCTTTGTTGATTTGGATTTTTTTGTATAAGGTAAACTACATTAAACTTACAGATCTTGGAAAGAGCAGTGAATTAATGAATGAGATAATGTCTGCTACACTAACAGGAAAACAAATGAAGAAGCAATAAGATAAGCAACAACTTCAAGAGAAATACTTGAAATGTACAGAAAAATAAAAATTAGATACTTTGGTCATATAATTAGGGGTGAGGTGATAATAACAGAAATAGTAATGGACAAAGTTGAGGGTCAGGGGGGCCAGGGGGGCCAGGGGGGGCAGGGGTCAGGGGGACAGGGGAAGGCAGAGACTGGGATGGACGAATTAGATTAAAAACCGAGTCCCCAGAGAGATACAAAACCTTGGAGTATTGGTAAAAACATCCCAAGAACATTTAGAGTAGAGGACTGTGGTCGCAAACCCTCAGATATGATGATAGTGCTCTGATTGGAGGAATAAACTGGTGGAGAAAGGTGAAGGAGAGGTTGGAGGCCAGAGTAACTCAAAACAGTACCATTAGTAGTACAAGTGGTGGTAGTGATTGTAGAAACAGAAGTATAATCAACTGTTAAAACCACACTTCAGGTAAAGACCCACCACCAGCAGTAGGCCCCATAAGAAGCAATCCAGGTCACTATCTAACAATTATCTGACACGTCACATCTCCTGACACACGACAGACAGACAGACAGACAGGACAGACAGAAAGGACAAGTAAGGCCAATCACTCTGGGGGATCAGGGTGGTGGAGACAAGCCGTGACCTAGCTTGACCTCCGGGCTATACTGTATACACTTTCACCTCCCATGACCCCTACAGGTATAGATAATCAACTCCCAGAATGCCAGATATTATAATTATTTCTTCTTCTTTTTTTACCTGGACGTTCAACACCCCGCCTTACACCATCCGGAGAGACTGTACTGTGGTCCATAATAACCCAACATCAACACAACCTCACACACAGATGGTCGACTTCATGAATAAACTTCAACTTTTATATTCGTGGTTTGTTGGTGTGACTCAGATGTTTTGATTCTCTACCGGGTGACCCCCCCTCCTCTCTCTCTCTCTCTCTCTCTCTCTCTCTCTCTCTCCTTAATGATGTTCTTCCACTGAATTACCAAAATTCGAGTTTCTGGAGAGCAAATTAAGAAGACACCCAACTATGGTTCTTTTAAAACTATCATTACCTCAATCTAAATACAAACTCACTTTAATCTTTATTTAGAAGTGAATTAATATATATATATATATATATATATATATATATATATATATATATATATATATATATATATTTATATATATATAGTAACATTAATAAAGGCAATGATTAATCTCATACGAAAGACTTAAAGTTATTTCAAACATACGCACTAAAATCTGTCCTTAAAACTATATCAATATTGTCATTATAACAGCTCAGTGTTACGGTTATAAAAGGATAACTCTCATATACTAACCCTACATTAACTGTCTGTCTGTCTGTCTCTCTGTCTGTCTGTCTGTCTGTCTTGTCTGTCACGAAATATACAATTATTCGGGAAAAACATTGAGACCATCTGTAGATAAAACACTGAGGCTTATGTCACCTGATAGATTAACCACTTTAGTTTAGGTTAGTTTAGGTTAGGTTAGGTAGAACACGCGAAACACTAATTGAGCTGAGAAGTAAAGGAGATGACAGGCGGGAGGACAGGTAGACAGAGAGGTGACAGAACACTATTAG